GTCATACAACATCAGACTGTCATACAACATCAGACTGTCATACAACAACAGACTGTCATACAACATCAGACTGTCATACAACAACAGAGTGTCTTCAGTCAGAGGCTTCTTCAGATCTGTTGTAGGACAGACGCTACAAGAGATCCTTCCTGCATCAGCATCTAGAACAACTCTTTAATGAAACCAGGATGATGAGTTACAACAACATTTAATTTCCCTCTGGGATTAATAAAATATTTTTGAATTTGAATTGAATTTGAATTTTTACTGAAACCCTGGCACTCAAAGTTCTACCTTTTCTTTTCTTATCTTATCACTCAGACCTCTGTGAATGGCAAGTGACCATCAGGGCACTAATGATCAATCATTAGACTGATGGTCCTCCTTTATCATGTGAACAGCTAGTTCTGGATGTCACCAACAAACTGGTTGGTCCACTATGAGAAGGTACTATTCACAAGACTGAGTTTTTTGCAGCTCCTCAGACTGAAGAAGTCTTTTGGATAAAAACAAAATGTTTTGACAACAAGTATCCATCCAGAGGACCTGACTTTATTTTGTTAGATTATTTTTAAATTGCACCAATAGAAGAACACTTAAGAAAATTTGTGTACAACAATTGAACTTTTATCAGTACACAAATTTCTCTGCACAACTGTCAAGGAAAGTCTGATTCTTTTCTGAATAAGACAGTTTACACTTCAAACAAGAAAATACAGATTAAAGTGCACAACTGCCACCTCAATTTTGACCCTACTTGCTTCCATGATGTAAAGTCATCAATAATGTCATCATATGAAATCTGCTCATCAGTTGTGTGACTGATATTGATGACGACAAGGTCAGTGAGGTGTTCCTGAGACATAGTGAACCTTATGTTTTAATCAGTTTCAACTTTAAAACGTTTTTCTCTGCTCCGGTCACTGTGGCAGGAAGAGTGACTGCAAATCTCAGAGCAGTCCACAAATTCAGTCTATGACCGATTGTTTATATTGACACTATTATGAATGAAATGTGCTTTGTTTGAGAGCAATAAATGTGATTTACTTAGCAAACTAATTGTGCTATTCATTTTTCCTCTGGCTCTCACTCAAGACAGACAGTCCCCTCTCAACCCCCCCCCCCCCCCCCCCGTTCTCCCTTTCCCCTTGCTTCTGCTCGCTGTGCGTCTCGGAGCTCCTGGTACACACCTCCCGAACGAAAAACACTATTATGGGTCTGATGAGCTGGACTTTCAACAAAATCGACAAAATCTTTTCAACAAAACGACAGGGTCCTGGAGAACTCTCTTGTTTGGCTGAGACTCACACTGCAGGGTACATCAGAGATCAGCTGATTGGCTTTCAGTTCTGTCTTGGGAGGATGCTGAAAACTTTATATTTTGGATTTACGATAGCAGGGGTTCTTCTATTTGGCATCGGCCGGGCTCTGTTTTATCAACTTGAAGAAGACATCAGCAGTAGTTTTGGCCACGGTAAGCTCCGAAATCTGTGTTTGGTTCATGCTATGAGGACTCAAAATCAGCTGGTTAACGAGCTAAACTGTAAGATGGAGACAATTTGCAGCTTTAGGACTCTACAACATATGGGATCGATCTTGGGGAGGCTCATAACGCAGATCAGTGGAGAGGAATACCCATAAATCTGGACATTTTGGACCGAGGAAGTTCCAGCAAGACTCAAGGCTGACAAGAAAAACAGTCTGCCTGTAGAAACTCAACAATTGTGGCTTATCTGAATCTGACACCCCCGTTTGGCCTCAGATACGAGCAAACTATCAAATTTCTCCTGGGACATGGGTAACTAGGGAAAAAGCTTTGTCTGTCGCTACATGCCCTGCACCTGACGGAGGATGTCCACTTCCCACAAGTGGGTGATAGGAAACAGACACAGTAGGCTAGTAAGGCTATTTGAAATAATGTGTTTTTTTCTTTTTTAGGGAGAGGGTGGGGGCAAGACCGGGGCCAGGCATCCGTGCCACCATCCATCCATCCATTATCTTTACCCGTTTATTCCAGTTTGGGTCACGGGGGTCGCTGGTGCCCATGTCCAGCAATCACTGTGCGAGGGGCGGGGGACACCCTGGATGGGTCGCAAGTCCATCACAGGGACACATAGAGACAAATGAGACAAACAACCATTCACTCTCTCACTCACACCTAGGGACAATTTAGAGTTACCAATCAGCCTAACATGCATGTTTTTGGTCTGTGGGAGGAAACTGGAGCACCCGGAGAAAACCCACGCATGCACGGAGAGAACATGCAAACTCCACCCAGAAGGCCCCTGGACCGGGGTTTGAACCAGGGACCTGCTCGCTGAGAGGCAGCAGCTCTACCAGTTGTGCCACCGTGCTGCCCGCGGGCAGCTGCCTATAACGCCCAAATCAGCAATCACTGCTGACGTCTCTTCTTTACAGCTAGAGCTTTAATTTTCAGATGCACTGTGTAATGCTGACTCAGCATTCATACTATTTTCCTCTTGACAATTATTTGCGTAGTTATTTTATATTTTCATACATTAAAACATTTGGCTTGATTAGGAATACTTTATTAAGACTAATAGTATTTATAAATTTTATAATTTTAACAATATTGAACTTATTTAGAAAACAATGGTCCTTGTGAAAATAAATCGAGATCATTTAGTTCCTTCAGAAAAACAGATTTTTGATATTTACTTCAACATACTTGCTCCATTTTCTTTATCTATGTATTTGCTGTTTTGTTTTCAGCAGATGTTAATTTTAGCTTATAGCAATGCTCAGTGGTGGAGAAAGTACTCAAACACTGAAGTACAAATAAATAGACAAAATGTACTTTAATAAAAGTAGAAGTACCCCATTAACATTTTTACTTAACTAAAAGTAATTGAGTACTTGCATTTAAAAATACTTAAAGTATTAAAAGTAAAAGTACTTGCTGAATGTTTTACCTAATGCAATGGTCTACATATCTTTAAGTCTGCGTACCATATGTATATTTTGTGTAATACATTAATAGTGTTGTTCCATTTTAATGAACGATGCTGCAGATAATACATGTTTTTATTGTGTTTACTCTGTGACACAGTTCAACCTGGACTTGTGATTCTGTGCGTCAGAATTTCAGGGATGACCTGCAGAGTTAAATGTCATTCATCAAAATAAGAAAGAGGAATGATTTTACCTGTGAAAGTTTTTATGTAACACAAAGCAAAACCAATGTGTCATTTTAACTGCAGTAAACACATTTAAATAAAAGTTGTCTGATGAACAAAAGGAGCATTAGACACAACTAACAAAGGAACAGGCTCTGATCAGTTCAACTCCAGTTTGTCATCAACTCCAGTTAAAATGTCTATTCAACCTTGTAATGGGTCAATATGAACAATATTTTAACTTCCTGACACCATTTTTAAAACTTGGACCTGAGTGTCGAGACATTTGGAGACATCTCTTGTCTCCTGTCCTAACATGAACTGACACATTTTAATATTGGAGAAATAATTTCTTGTTCAAGTTCAGAAGAAGTTGGTTTTCAAAGATTTTTGAGTCCAGTCTGGCTCTGTTGGGAGATAAAATCTGTCCTGTTGTACTGAGCAGTGTTTCAATAAGGCCATGGGTGGTGCGTATCTTCTGGCTGACTCTCCATGGTGGAATCCATTTTGGGTGTTTTAGTGGTGCTGTGGGTGCGCCCAGCTCAATGACGTACAATATAAGTCACTGGCCCAGCTCTTCTTGAAGGCGGGTCTAATGTTACCTCCCCACTTTACAGTGATTCAGTGGAGCAACTCCCCTCTCCCCATTGGTTACTTTCAAATGAGCAAATCAAAAACCACAACATGAATGTAACATGTAACGCAACACATTACAGAAATGTAGTGTCATAGAAAGTACATATATTTAATGTAAAATGTAGTGGAGTAAAAGTTGAAAGTATTCATGTTTAACTCTACTTAAGTAAAGTACAGATACATGAAAAATGTACTTAAGTACAGTAACAAAGTACTTGTACTTAGTTACATCCCACCACTGGCAATGCTTTTGCTGATGTGAGCCTTAGTTTTGCTAGTCGTATCTTTAGTCTTTATTAAGACTCAGCATTCCCATCAGATTTCACAGAAAACTGTCTCCAAATAGTTTTTTAACGGTGTGTTGTACTCCTCACCACATGTCAATGGGCGTTGAGTATTCTGTAGAGCCCAGAAGCACATCGGGGGGTCGGTACCAAAGAGTCACCACCTCGTTGGAGTAGGTCTTTGTGGGAACAGACTTGGCCCGTGCCAGACCTGGACAGGACAGGATAGGGTTCTTAGAGTTCATCTTGGCTTAGATGCACCTCATAAAGTGAAGAATCTTCATGCTATGTTGGCTGTATTTATCTGGAACTAATAAAAGTAGTCAAGGACAGTGGTGGGCTTATGAAACTGCTTCAAAAACAAAACCGAGAAAACTGCATGAGAAAGCCATGGTTGCTAGGATACATGAAGGTTTCTTCCAATCAGGATAGACCACCTCACTGTGGTGATGAAATAAATCAAGACTGGGAAACATTTATTGTAAGAAACAAGTTATTTTATCTTTAAACCACACGCTAATATTTCTATGATCCTGCAGAGGGTGAATAGCATCTTTCTTACCAAAATCAGCCAGTTTGAGCTCGCCCCGGTCATTGATGAGCAGATTCTGAGGTTTCAGATCTCTGTGGAGGATTTTTCTTTTGTGGCAGTAGGATAAACCACGCAGCAGCTGGAACATGAAGATCTGAAGGCAAGAAATGTGAAATTCCATTCATTCAACCTTTATTTAGACAGATAAGTCACATTGAGCCTAGAAGACTCATTTACAAGTGAGCTCTGTTCAGACAGACAAAAAAGCAGTGAAACTGGACACATGTAGGAATTGGAGGCAAAAATTGGCTGAGAAGAAAAACTCTAATATAAAAAGCACCTTGCACAAACAAGCACATAGTGACATAGACATTCCGCAGAGGGGGGAGATGACGAGAGCGGTGAGCAATGTCCATGGACACTTTCGAGGGCACTGTAAGAGTTCTGGTAAGGATGGAATAATCAGCCAGTGTCCTCCAGTGAGATCTGTAAACATTCTCGAGAGATGTCAGGGAATGGCCAAGGATAATGCCTATGAGAATCCAAGAGTCCTGAAATGATGACTTAATGTTTATTCAGCTGGTTTCATCTGGTTATCAGTTGGAAATTCCTCGGGGGGGGGGGGGGGGGGGGGGG